CAGCTAAGACATAAATAGTCTTTGGTTTGGTGGTTTATCAGCCTTTTTATCATGTTTGGCATTTCGTAGGCACTCAGTGGTATCTGTGGAAGGAATGAATCTTGGCTTTATCATTCACCAGCCATGCGATCTTGGGAAAGTTTCATAACCTGTCCTGAGAGAGAGAAAAATTAATGTTTGGTATTACAAGCCACTGGGATTTGAGAGTTGTTTATTATTATGGTGCAGTATTACATCCGCAATAACTGGTGACTACATCCTGCCACCATGTAGGGGGGAGGAAAATTCACAGAAGAGAGATGCTCAGCAGAGAATTCCAATGGCATCGGCTATATAGGAGCATCCAAGCTATAAGAAGACGTATTGTTTCTTTAGCATTCACTAAAATTAACAATCTTACATTTTAATTACCCCACATAAAATAAATACTAAAAAATGACACACAAACTTCTCCAAGTCATACCCTGAGAGTTCTAGAGCAGGTATAGAACACCACCAAGGAAAGAAATGTTTTCTGGCCAAGCATGACCTTGTTGCATCGGTGGGCAAGCCCACAGGGTGGCGATGATAACAGAAAATACCCCGAATGCTTTTCCCCCTGACACAGCAGGGTTATAAGTGTGTTAGGTCTGAGTTACAGGAGGCAAACAATCTTCCTCTACCAAGAGGAAAATGGGTAAAGAACCCTTCTCTTTTGAGGCAAGAGTCGCATCTTTTGATCGTCAGTGAGAACCAAAGCTGGAGTAAACTTGGAAATCTGACATACAATCACCTGAGCCCTGTCCCTACCAAAATGTAAACACTCGCCAGAGTAGAGGGCTGTTTCCCATCTTGCGTGACACACTCATGTGTCTGGCTTCTTTTCATGAAACATCCAGTGAAACAGGAATTTAGGAAGCAACAAGCAGGTGTTTGGAACCACACAAAATGTGAGTCTAATGTCTTTTCAAGGCATGTGTCAGATAGCAAAAGATAGTTCTTAAGAGACTTCTTTTTTTCAGGCAGCATAAACAACTGGAAACGTGTTTGTGTTCCTTGGAATCAAATAGACACGGGTTTGATTCCCAGATCTGCTAGCTGATGCATTTGATGAGCTTTCTCTTCATCTGTAAAATGGAAACAATACTAAAGTTGAACCAAGTGCAACTGCCATATATGAAGTGAAAAGAAGTGGAATATTGATGATTTTATATGGTTCAGTCTGTCTCTGTTTCACAAGACTGAAGTCAGAATAGAAGACTAAGTTCATGGATGTCTTCTCCTGGGCACGACTCTGTTTTTGCACATGACAGACATCTAACTCAAGACAGCTTAGGGGGAAAAAAGGGAATGCATTAGCTCCTGTCAGTTACAAACGGTGTTAGCTTCCTCGTGACAGCATCCAGGGGCTCAAATGATGTCTGTCTGTCTGTCTCTCTCTCTCTCTCTTTCCCTCTTCCCCCCGCCCCAGTTCCTTGTGAGTCTGTTGACTTGGTCATACATAATGAACAAGATGACCAATGACAGCCTCTAGTAGAAGCAAAATAGACATTTCTCTCCCAAAACCCACCCTTCTTGGGCTACGTGCACACCGCTCAAATAATCAGTTTCCAAATGCATTAAGTGGCCTGTTATGCTTGGTGCAGCCTAGCTGACTTTCTCACCTAAAGAGAGTTGGCAGAAATAAAAGGCACTGCACATGGTAGACTAATTAGAACCACAAAAGATAGGGAAAGAGTTACTCAAAGAATATAAAGGTGTTAGGCGGACAGAAAAAAAAATAATTACTACGACATTGTGTACAACACTGAACACAGATTCTGGCCCACAGAAGATACGCTAAAATTTGCCGGTTTCTTCCACAATACTCCAAGAGGCCAGGTTTATTGTTTCACTCAAAGATAACATGACCAGCTTTTCTCAATTTGCCCAGGACTTTCCTGGTGTTAGCACTATAAGTCTCAGGCCCTGGAAAACTGCTCAGTCATAAGCAAACCACCTTGGTTTGTCTGAACTGTCCCAGTTTTAAAACTGAAAGTTCCACATCTGGGAATGCTCCTCCATCCCAGAAAAACTAGGACCGCTGGTCACCCTGCCCAAAGATGGCACTTCTAAGTGTAAATCTTAGCTGTAGTTGAGGTCTCATTAAGTCAGTTTGTGAGTCACCGCATTAATACAACAATCATGTGGCATGATACGTCTGAAACCATGGAGTCCTGTGGGGAAATGCACAGGCTGTGTCTGTTTTATCTGAAGTGACAGCATCTGTCCCTTTCCTTTGCCCTTCCCCTGCCTTCTTTGTTTTTCTTCCACAGTGTCTTTCTTTTTCCCCTATTCTCCTTCCTTCCTTCCCTCCCTCTGATCCTCTTTCCTTCTCTCTATTTTCTTTTCTACTTTCTTTTTTGGCAACATATTTACCTGACTTAGATCTTGTTTGTGATCTTCCAGGGAACTGTTGTGTGTTACTTGACTAAAACAAGCCGGCTTCAGTAAGTACGTTTATCCTGGGTAATCCACCAAATAAGTGGAAACTTCGTTGCTGATTAAGACAAGACAAGTACGTGCAGTTACTGTGGTGTTACGGAGACAGCATGGTTATGATGCTGCACATAGAGGATGAAAAAGTCGGGAGGGGGCCAAAAAAACAGCGATTGTGAAATGAGGAGTTAGAAACTGGAAGGGCTTGAGATCAAGTTCTTTTGAGGCGCATTTTAGCTTAACTGTTTACACAGAGGTCGCATCTACTAACAATGAAAATTCTTGGGATTTGGAAACTTTTTCTTCTTTTGACTCAACATCATCATTAATTAAGCAATGTAAACCAGAAAATCCTTTTTGGTTACAAACTATGCTTTGAAGCCAGGCCTGCATTTGAATGTTTTCAATCAAAATCCTCGCATACAAGTTGAAAGAAAACAATGTCTAGCCTCCGAGGGTTTGCTATGATAAGGGAAAGCAGAGTCTTCAGAATATCCTTCTGAGAGTGCTGTGAATTTTATTGCCCTTATTAAAAAGTGCTAAAGAATTAACTCCACTTTGGAGGCAAATCCAAATGCTCCCTCATGGCACGGCTCCCACCCACAAGTCAGGGTCATTCGTTGGTACTTCCACTACATTTGCTTCCCAATATCAGCATTCACATCACTTTCACATTTTTTTGTCATTGCACAGCATCACCTGTGCCATGTAGTTACCTCACGTTCTCCTACAAACTTATTTTTTTAATTAGATAGACGAAGCTGATGCAGGAAATGCAGCGCCTCGGGGCTGCTGTTTAATCCCTCAGTCTATATTTTGTTATAGCCTCCCAAACCGACTAAGACAAGGCTCAATTTAGAAATTGATCTTAGAGATAATAAAGGGCAAACCTTAACTGCAATGACATTGAGAGAATGGGTTTATAAAAGGACAAAGGAAGTGAATGGAATAATTACACAGGAGCTGGATTGGAAACATGCATTTGCAAACGTGAGCCTGACTTCAGTTCTTTGGTCTTTGGTCATGGCTCCTTCCAGGGTAAAGACAGCCCGGCTGTGTCCCGAGTCTACAGGTGCTTTTCTATGTGGTTGAGCCAGTGTTTTCTCCCTTTTTTCCTTCTCACTGTTTGTTACATGACAAATAGAAGGACTTTTAAACTCCAAGAAAGAAAACCAGCAGTTGGGAGACAAGTGCCTAGAGAGGGGGTCACTGGGAAGAAAAGTGAAATATACTCCTTAAAAGGTGGTGGGGGAAGGCCCAGAACCCAGGGCTCTGGCGCTAAGGGGTGAAGCCAATGTCACAGAAATGGAAAATAGTTGTGGCGCTGCCCATCGATGAGGTTCTCTGTGTGCAATTCTCTGCTGGATGCTGGAAAATGCTACTTTACAGTTTCAAAGCCTGTCATTGCTGATCAGCGCTATGTCAATGAAGACCTCACTGGACTCGCGCTCCCACGCATTCAGCACAGCAGGCAGGGACTATGCCCACAGGAAGGACAGTGTGGTTTGGGGTGTTCATATGGGGCTCCCTTGGCTGGTGTTAGGAGCAGTGGTGAGCTTCAATGTGCTGATTTCAGGCCCAGCATCCTTTCCATGACAAAGGTCAAAACACACCTTTTCATCTGATCTTGCTCTTGTTTGCCAAGGTCAAAGTCTTATCCATGTCCAGTCCCATTCCCTGACCAGTGTTCTTCTTCTCCCCCAAAAGTCACCTGCTGGCTTCTTGCAGCAAAAAAATAAAAATAAAAATAAAAATAATATTAAATAGAACATGAAAATTTAGAGAAGAGAATGTAAATTTGGATCTGTTGAAAAAATTCCTACACCTGACATAATTTATTGCATCCTCGATGAAGCTCTTTCCCAGCCATCACCAAGCAAGGGTGACTATTATTGCTGTAAGAACTAAAATATTGAGGATGTCATCTAGTGACACGTAGCCTAAAGGTCATGAGCCAGATCTCAAACCTTTGTGCCTGTCTCCACCTCCCTGTGGTCCCCATCCTTCCTCTCAATTCCTGCATGTCTTGGTCAAGGCAGGTAACCCTGGGCTTCATCTCCTTCCACTACAAACTGAAGGGGCTGACCTGCAGGGTCTCCAGAAACATTCTGTACAGTGGCTGGCTGGTAACAAAGCCATCACAATGCTCCTTGAAGACCAAAGGTGTCCAGATTTCCCCCAACAAGAAAAATGAGAAAACGTTTAACTTGAATTTTATACTCACTGCAAATATTGTCCGGACTCTTGGTGCCGTTTTTGCAAATATGATTTGGGAAGTGAGCCAACAGATAGAGAAAGATATTTATTTTTGTTTGTGAGGTCAAAAATACTTCTTTGGAACGCCATCAAACAAATAGGACGTCTGTGTAGACCACCGCGTCATTGCACACTGCGGGCCTTGCGTGTTCCCTCTGTCTTTGCCACTGCTCCAAGCCTGGGAGAATGCTTTTGAAACACATCAGGAAATTACTTATCAGACTGAAGCCCCAAAGGGTTATGCGCTTGCCTTGCTGCCAAAGGAAAGGGGATTTCAAGTGAATGCTCCACAGCTGTTCACAGACTCCAGCTGTTGGAAGGTCTTACAAGCCATGGAAGTAAGGAGCCTGCCGTCCCGATGGAAGTGAACTTCTTCAGGCTCTTTTTCTCCTGGAGATGAGTCTTTTGGCTCAGGTTAGTGTTCAGCTTTCTCTGTTCTTCTCTGAGGTTTGGGGGTGTTTACTGACTGGGGCTGACTCCATGAAACCTCCTCTGGGAAGGCTTCTGCTGAACAGAAGAGAGAAAGCAAAAGGCATCAGAGCTGGCTGTGCTTGGGGGGAGTGGGTTTTGATAGCAGCCCTTGTCTTGGAAATCATGCTTCTGAATGGCTATAAATCCATATTCAAGAGATTGTGAGGCTGACAGGATCCCCTGTGGGAGCTTCACCCAGAAAAACAGAATTGTCATCGAGTCTGCGCTTACATAATTCAACTTTAAGTTGTTTCTTTCATTTTGATATACTGTAGGATTTTAATCGAGGGAAAAAACACAATAAAGCTAATATGGTTCTGTGGAGATTTCCCTGTCGTAGTCTAAATCTTGTGCTCAACTTCTTTTTAGTTAGGGGTGCTAATTTATTACTGTTTATCTTTTTAAAACAAATGCACTGAATGCTCCAAATGGCTGTGGGGGTGTAATGCATTCCTTGCAATGTAAGGCTACAAATATCTAGACTGTGTTGGTTAAACAATGGGTTTGTGTTAATAGTAATTATATGAAGAATTGCATAATTTCACAAATACTGCATTGTACTAGAGTGTGTTTCTTTCACAGGTATTTCAAATCATATTTGGTTAAGGACTGGGAAGTGACTGTGGGGATAGATAGATAGATAGATAGATAGATAGATAGATAATTTATAGGAAATGGTTTGGTTTTGGTCAGCCTTTATTTGGTGAGACCCTGACACTTGCCTTGAGTGTCCTCTTCCAGGGTCCCTCATCAAGAGCCCTAAGGCTGTTGGAAACTCGTGTCCCCAGATCTCCCACCCTGCCCATGTTAGACTATGCCAGCTGGGCCTGATTCCCGATTTGAAGAAGAAAGCCTCACTCCTCAGCCTGGGTTGCATTGTCCTGATGCCCTAGAAAGCTTCCAAAATGACAAGAACCTTACCTCTAGTTGACATTTGGCTTCTTTTCTTCTTTTTGAATAATTTTGGTTCACACTTTGACATCCCATGAGGACAAGACTTGTCTCGTACCTGATATGTTAGTGACGGTCAGCGCACGTGTCAGGAGCTCCTGAATGTCAGGAGGCTTCAGGCAGAAAGGGGTGTGAGTTAGGAGGAATTCATCACAGCCTGTTTCCTATGTAGCCCTCCATTATTAATCAGCTCGCCTCTACTTTTAGACTCAGGTGATCTCTAACCTTTATGTAGCAAATATATATATATATACACATATATATATATATGTGTGTGTGTGTGTGTGTGTATATATATATATATGTGTGTACATATATATCTCCAGTGTATATATATTTGTGTGTGTACATATTTATCTCCAGTGTATATATACATCTCCAGTGCTCTGAAAGCAATAGGAACCAACATGACACAATGCTCCCCTTCCAGAGTAAAGGTGTTCGTAGTTTGTGCAGCCCAAGTGAACAGTCCTTTCCCTGGGCCATACCATGAGCCTGGGCACTGGCTGTTGGACGCTTGTGGTGTGATGGATCGTAAGATGGAGGGGTGCCCGGTAGGAAGGTGGAAGGAACATTCACATATTAGGACATGACTGAGCATTGGCCATAGGCTTGGCCCTCTACTCCCCAGGTCTCAAAGGGTCTTCAGAGCTGGCAACTCACCGGTCAGAAGTAGTGGCTCTGCACCCAGAGCACCTGGGACACATCCCAGGCGGGCCTTCGCGCTGCCCAGGTGTGATGACTCATGTCCTGTGTGCCTCGGTTTTCTTGCTATGAAACAAAGGAAATAACAGCAGGATTCGTGTGAGTTAATGGAGGTACAGAGCGGTTTTTGTCTTATCTCGTGCATGAGGGACCAAGGCTCGCGACAACTAAGAAACTTCCCCACAGCCACACAGGGGACGGCTGGCTGGCCGGGCGGGATTTGGAAGTAAAAGGTCTGGCTTTATCGTAATGGAGGAAGTCCCCCTTTTTAACCATCGACTCCTTCCCTGCGCTCTTGAGTTCTTTTACATGCATTCGTTTAACCAGTCCTCACAAGGGCCTTCTAGGTAAACGTCACTGACCACTGACCATGAAGGTTTCAGGCAAGAACACTGAAGCACAGAGACATGTAACTCACCCAAAGACACATGCCTAGGAATTGGCAGTGCTGAGAGCTAAGCACAGGTTTTTAAAACCCCACGTCCTGTGATCTTTTCCTGACCCCATGCTCTTAAAAAGGTCAGGCCCACACTGCCCCCTGCATGGCAGAGTGAGCTAGTGAAGGCTGATAATGCTCACCGTCAATAAAGCCCTCAGTGCCTGGTCCAGTGCCTCACTATAGCAGGTACCTGAGCAGGTATCTATTGGCACCTGTCATTTTCTAAGCCCTCTGACCATCTGACTTTTTGTCATCAGCCTCTTTGATTGCATCAGGCTTCAATGATCAGCAGATGGGTAGATTTCTTTCCCTTGGTAGGTTTTTTATTATAAATCAGTACAACTGCATGGAATTCATCACTGTAATAGAATAACGTGAGAGATATCTATAACATGAGAAATGTGCTCAATAAACTTTACACTGAGAAACCAGCAATGCAGACTTTACAGTGCTGAATAAAATACAATCAGGTTGAGTTCTCTGAAGACTACTGCAACAGAGTTAGGTCGCAAGCCAAAAGGAGGGTGCCAAAACATGTGCCGGGAACCTGAGATGCCTTGGGAAGAGGTCACAGGGGGCAGAGAAGAATAGGGACCATCAAATATTGGACATGATTTCTTGTGATGTCGAATATCAGGATTTGAAGGGAAATGTCCCTGGCTTTGAGTTCTGGCTTCACCATTTTCTAATTGCAAGACTCCAATGTATTGCTTCCCTCTCAAGCATATGTAACAGACAGAAACAACTCGGCATTCAATCCACAAATATTTATTGAGCACCTCCTATGTGGCTAGCTTTATTCTAGATATAGCAGTGAACAAGGTCCAAAGCCTCTCTGCCTTCAGACTCTGAACAGGGAAGACAACCAAAATGTAACTTTGGAGACTGATAAGTGTCCAGAAGAAAATAAAATATGGTAATGAGATAGAATGACTGGCAGGTGTGTGGGAGGGGATACTTCTTCAGCTAAGGTAGTCGGGGACCACCTCATTGAGGAATTTGGAAGTCTGGAATTTGGCGCAGACTTGAATCATAAGAAAACCACAAAAGCTATGGTTTAGTCACTAACTAACCATGTGACAATAGACAAGCCATTGAAACTCCTTAGTCCTCAGTTTCATCACCTCAAAACTACAGAGCGGGAGTAAATCGATGGGCCTCCTTCTGCCCCTGAAACTGTCACTTGCTTTCCTTGGGTTAGCATCATATGCCATGCATAATTGTATGAAGAGAAGAAAAAACATCTCTGAACCAAACTATACAATGGTTCTTTCTTCTTTTATTCTGTTTCCTGGGTTATTTTCAAAATGTTCTTCTTCATCAGAGATAAATGAGTAAGCCCTAAGTAAATGAAGATCAATTAACTAGTTCTTCTTTAAACATGCAAATCATCACAACTCCTAGAGATTACACTGTTGGAGAAGATAAGAACCACCGCATGACAGATGTTTGGGGATGAACTGTGCAGCTTCACAATGACTTCATGTGTGGCTTTGAGTCTGAAATTGTACATATGTTAGCGGAGCCAACAGCAAAGCTGCCAGAAGTCAGTTGATCCAACACTCTATTAATAGCCAAGATTCATGTGTATGGCTTTAAAGAACAATCCATGGTCCGACATATTTTCTTTCTTAAAATGGTACAGGAGACCTCATTTGGGTCTGAGACCTCATCTATCCAACGTTAAGGTCATAATGCAGATAACTTGTACTGGAGGAGTCTTTGTCTTTCAATCAGGCACATATTTGTGGTCAGAATATTCTTGGCTGTAGCACTCCAGCTAATGGTCTTAATCCTCCATTTTGCCTTATCGCAATAATGTAAACCTCAAACATGGATCCAGAACAAGAATTTTGTGTGCACTGCAACAGAAAATGTACAGGTCAACATTTTTGATTTTCAAACGCTGATTTTTTTTTTTGCTTAATTTTTAAAAATGTGATCTCTCCAAATTACAAACATGTTTCTAAAAATTGTTTTTAAGACAAAGTCCAAAGTTGAGATCCAAGGACTGAAAACTCAGAGCAAAGAGGATGAGATTAGAACATTGGAGTTACTTAACCTGGACGAGAGTGAGTTGGGGGTGAGTCATGATGATCCTCAGGGCTGTAAAGCAGTTTCACGCAGTGGGGAGAGTCGGGGTTAGGGTTCTACTATTCTGCACTTAATTTCATGGCAAATAATATTCCCAGCATTTTAAAGACATTAGCTCCTCACCCGAGTGTAGTGTGGCTATTGCTCTGCTTATCCTACTGGATGAGCAACTGAGGCCTGGCGCAGTTCAGTAACAATCAAGTTCTCCAGCTAGGAAATGCCAGAACTACAGCTTGAACTCAGGACCACCCTGCTCTGTGACCCACAGATGTTCTACTCTACCACTCTACATTAAAAAGATAATCAGCTTTTTTTTTTTTTTCACATGCAATAGCATTCAATTAAAGTAAAAAACAAAGACTCTCCTGCAAGTTTTTAAACATCGAAATAGGCTTCTAAGAGAAGAGGCTAAGAGAACAGGCTGTCCTCTTTGGTGGTCTAGTAAAACCAGATCAATTATTACATGCATCTAATATGACTTCAGTGTGGTCCTCCCCAAGGTGAGAACATTGAAGCAATAATTCCTCAAGTTCCTTTCTAGTTTTTCCAACCAAAAGCCAAGTCTGCATCCAGACAAGGCAAAATGGCGGTGACATGTTGAGTCTGGCCACTGTGTTCCTCCTCTCCAGCTCCGTGCCGTCACTCTGGCCAAAGGGATGTCCAGACTTTCTGAACAAACTATAGTCACTCAGATCACAAGCTCTGCTGGTCACTTTTCCCACAACAAGGAAGGGGATCCAACTCTGTTCTAGTT